TTCCCCTTTAAAGCTGCGCTATGTGTAATTGAAGGGAAGCCATATGTTTTAGACACTCTGTTATTTAAACATGTCTAAGTTATATCAAGTTTAGACAGAACGTCCCATTTACCTTGGCATAACTCAAATCTCTACATTATCTCTGTCTTAGCAAAATCCTCAGAGGGATTTATCATTCAAACTCTGTTCAAACATAAGCCTGCCAAAGAACTGCCTTAGAATTAAACAGCAGCAGAAGCAAATGACTAAAACTTTTTCTCAGTTACATAAGAGAAACTGAAGGGGGGCAGACAAGAGGGCGATAGCTCTATCTTGCCACCATCACCAACTGGCAAGAGTAGCTGCCTGGGAGCATGCTGCACTGTCATTCACTCTGTGTGTGCTGGAAAATGCTGAGGGCATTTGCCACAGTTTGCATTATTTTCTAGATATTACAGCACATTACTGACATTTGTATGTGGTTCCCACAGCCCACCCTTGCTGACTTTTTAATTAATTGCTGAAAATGTGAAAACTTGATTTACCAGAATAAGAAGGTAACAGTTTCCATGGACGAATCTAGGATTTTGAAAAGGGAGGTCCAAGCTGTGCTGCTCTTTGCTGATAGGGGAAAGCAGCCTGCTGAAGGGGGCTCTGAGCTCCTTGTCCCAGGCCTGGGCAGAACCCCAGACTAAGCCTCCCTGGGATGCCCCACAGGAGAGAGAGGGGAAATGAATGAGAAAACAGGGTGCTGCCCCTTCCCCCCATGTGTCCCCACTGACCTTTTCTCCCTCACTCAGATCTTGTGGGTTTTGTACTCCGGGCAGAGCAAGATAGGAGTGAGAGGAAATACCATGCTGACCCCCACAGAACAGCAGTAGTAGTGGCATTATGTGCCACAGCTTTGGCTCCCCACGTTGAAGCTGCGATGTGGGGGCAGGTGTGGATACCAACAGCTGCTGCAGCTGGGGTACAGGCAGTAGCACATCCAGGAGGGAGGTGATGAGCAGAGCATGAGTCGCAGGCAGCAGACTGGCAGCCACCAGGGAGTCCATGCTATAGGCCAGCGTTTTTCAACCTTTTTTTAAGAAGAGTACCCCTTCTGGTGGGTACTCCTCCTGGTGCTACCCCCTTCTGGACATGGAGCAGGTTGGGGGGTCCCCCAGCAGCCAGTCACTGAACAAGTATGTGGCAGTGGTGCTTCCCAAGTACCCCTGCTTTTCCGTGCCGCCACCATGTACACCTGATGGCCTTCCCAAGTACTCTCAGGGGTACACATACCCCCAGTTGACAACCCCTGCTATAGGCAATGCTGAAATCAGTACAGGGCAGGGGTAGGCAATCCCTGGCATGCATGCCAGAGCATGGCACACAAAGGCATTTTGCTTGGCTCACACACCTTGTGGAAGGGGCCAAGGCTGTACTGCCACAACAACGATAGGGCCCCTCGCAGCTCCTCTGCTGTCCACCCATGGCATGCCAACATCTTACAAATCAAGGTTGTGGGTCTTTTTGGCACTTTGCCCAAAAATGCTGCTGACCCCTGGTAGAGCAGGAGTCCACCCCCTAGCTGCACCTATGCTCACACCTGTTCAGCGGCAACAGGTGCAGCTGGAGAGAACCTAAGCCATGGCAGGTAACACCATGGTGCCACTCTCCAGCAGTCAGAATATTACCCCTCCTCTGCACCAGGTGCACAGGTCTGGCTGTCACCAAGCTGGAGAGATCCCGGGGAGCCACGCCAACCCCCCTTATAGCTGCTCTGCCCCATCCTTCGTCCCTGGGAGGAGCCAAGTCTCTTCCTCCCTACACCTGTGGCAGGAATTGGAGATGGACAGGAGGTTGGGGGAGAGCTAAAGTGGTGCGCCAAACACTGCAGTGGTGCCCCACTGAATGCAAAATATATCACCAGGCTACTCCAGTTCTATGCCAGTTCAAAGTCCCTGAGGCTATATACACGCAGACATAACAAACAACGCCCATATAAGTTGTCTGCCTGCTCTTATAGTGATGCAAGTGCAGCAAAAACATTGCAGCTTTAAACCTGTTTTTTGGGGGGTTAAAATTACATCAATTTAGCTCTACTGTGCCACTACAGGAGTTTGCAGACCTAACACTTATAATAACTGATGCATACTCCCAAGTAGCAACAACCCTTTCTCTTTTAAAGCAGTTAAAATGTATGTCTGTTTACAGCCCAAGTTATGCTGCATAACACTGGAGTAATACAGTGATGAATCAAATCCTATGTTTTGATGCCTGGTAAGCCTATTTGAGATATCAATTATGAATGGTAATAGGGCATTGAGTTTCTATGTCAGGAAGCTGGCTGAAGAAAGGGAATGATTATCCGCAGCCTCCACAACAATGTTAGCAAGAATAAATATCCTACCATTAAGCCAATGATTTATATGTACGAAGGAGAGACCTAGCATGATCAATCCCAATAACCTGTTCACAAAAAAAAATGCAGATATGATTATATATTTTAGAATTATTTTACAAGCATAAGGCTCTCATTTCTCTTATTTTGTGCAGACACAAGCGCTAATCATGCTTATAAATGTGTATATAATCAGCCCTGCCAGAAGTAGCAGCCTGAAAAAACTTCTCTTACTGCAAAAAAGGCCATGAAATGAAAGGGAAAGTTGGTGGGGCTGTGACCTCATATCTGCCTCAAGTATGATTAGGTGCATTTTGAACAGGAAATTTAGGTGGAAGGATACAACAATAAAGAGCACAGCTAAACCTCTGTGAATCCCTTTCTCCTAAAGTCCTGGAGCAAACTGTGAGGCAGAATGAGAAAGAACCAGAAAGACATTGGAAAGGCGTAAGTGAGTATCTGTAATAATCTCCTCCAAAGAAGATAGTTAAGCAAGGGACGCATCTCAAGGGAGCCTAAAAAGCCAGTTACTGAACCTCGCGGTGCATGCTGAGCACTCTAGAGGTGTGTCTACACATTCATTAATGCACCATAGTTACTGCACATTAAGTGTAGTAATTGTATAACCAGGAACTAAATAAATGCGCAGTAACTGGCGCTACTGTGCAGTAGCGCTGGTGCACAGCTTTTTAGTGATGCTAACTGCGCAGTAGCCTAATACTACTGTGCAGTGGTTTATTAGCACTGTTTCTGCCCTGCACAGTACTGCACAGTAGAATTAGGCTACTGCACAGTTAACTTCATGTATAGATGTGCACTAACTCTCCCTGGCATTGCAGAATGGTTCTTCCTTTCCAGTGAGTCTCTGACCTACTGTTGGGAAGAGAAGAGGGAGTGCCTTAACATCCAGCATCCAGGGCCATTCTCCAGTGGGTTTTTTCCATTCCAGTTTGGAGTGACAGGTCCTAAAGTCAGAGCTAAAAAACTAAACATTGCTTATGTTTTAAAAACTGTCAAAATAATTTGTTAGAACAGCAAAATAGCTGTACTATCACTTTATTAAACAAAAATGAATTTTGAAAATGAGGCAAAGGCTTGTTTTTAAACTCTATATAGGCTTTCTTTGCCTTTTAAAGAATATCCTGGAGCTGTCTCAGTGCCTTATCTTTTTGGCACACTTCAAAATTCTAAACTACTGATCACTCCGTACAACTGAGACATGAGTTGATGTATGTTCTTTTCATATGCTTTTTGGCCCATGAAGAGGAAAATGTCACCATGAAAGATGTGAAGTGTTTATCATTTTTTGTATAGCAATTTACTGAAAAAAGCACATGAAAATACAGTGTATCACAGATTACAAAAAAGATTCTTATCATGCCATGGGCCACACATACACCAAGTTATACTTTTGTTTCTCCATAGTGTGGTAAAAAAGAACATAATTAATAGAAGAATAAAACTATACGTGAAAATTAATTTATTTCCTCCATTCAGTATCTTTAGGCAAGGAGACAGTATCAAGAAGCCTGATGAAAATTCTAATCCTCTCCCTCAAAATATCTCACAAATTGTGATGAAAGGACAAAGAACTGAAGGAAAAAAGAACCTGCTGGTTACATTAATCTATCATCTTCTATTTATCTTCTTACATAAGTATCTTCTTTCCTTTCTAATGCAGCTAACAATACTCCTCTATTTCCTTATTTAATCCTTTATAATGCCACCATGTCAGACTTAGAAGACCCACTTTTCAATAACTAAATTAATTATTTAATTTTGTTGGATACAGGTGCTCTGAAATCTGCATCTAAATGATGTGCTGGTATTTAACCTCAAGAACCTGACAGAAATAACTTGGGCTCTTACCTAGTTATCAAATAGCATTTTACCTTTCTTATAAGAAACCTGCAGAGCACACTGGAGTCCCAACATCCTTTGTTTAATTAGTGTCATTGCAAGTGCAGTTGAGTGCATGGAATAATCTTTTCTCCATTATATCTTATTGTTCATACTTTTATTTTTTTCACAAAGCTAATAAAAATGATTTAGTTGGATCACTCCAGATTACTGAAAATTACCGCATGTCACAACTAAACTTTTCAGTAACAAAAGTTTACACCAATTTATTCTGCTTATAGTGTATGGAGTTTTTGAGATGATTCTAAATGTCTATAGAATATATATACAATATGTGGTGCTGGCTGTTTAAACACTGTAATTCATATTATTGTCAGAAAATGGTAATAAAACAAAAGGCAATCAAAAGACCTTGACAGAGGTTCCTCACAGAGAAAATACACTGGTAAAGAAGCTGTGGCAGTAAAAACCAACCATCCTCCTCCCTCCACCTGCCATATGAACAACCTCAAAAGTGAAAAAGCAGCTGGGAAATGTGTCTCTCACCAGTGAGACTTCTATAAGGTACTAGCCTCAGATATCCAGTCATCCAAGGAAGAATACAACAGTTTTCAATATATGAAGATTAGCTATGTACACTACACCAGATCCTAAGCTGGTGTAAACTGGTGTCACTCCATCAGAATTACTGAAAGTATCCTAAGAGTAAGCCAACTAAGAATCTGGTTCATTGCCTTTAGTGTTTTATAGACAGCATCACTGAAGTGCTCAGTCTTACCTTGTTGTAGTATTGCACCTGAACAGAGTGCCACTGTCCATCACTGACTCCTCCTGGGACAAACGGTGAAACTGTGGTAGAGGTCTCCCCTGAAATGTTAGTTAAAATATTTTAAGAGAATGAAAAAAAATACTCAATCTCATACTGTCATTTATTATTATACTCTGCAACATTCAAAACATGAATACAAAACAAGTTCTGCTTTGAACACAATAGATCACATAGGTCAGCATGGATTTATTAGGGGGAGATCATGTCAGACCAACCTGATTGCCTTTTATGATCAGGTCACAAAAGCCATGGACGCAGGTGTCGCGGTGGATGTAGTCTTTCTGGACTTCAGCAAGGCCTTTGACACCGTCTCTCACCCCATCCTAATTAATAAACTAGGCGACTGTGGCATAGATGCCTACACAGTCAGATGGATTGCAGATTGGCTGAAGGGTCGCACTCAGAGGGTGGTGGTGGATGGATCATACTCAACTTGGGGGGAGGTGGGTAGTGGAGTCCCCCAGGGCTCGGTCCTGGGGCCTGCGCTGTTCAATTTCTTCATCAGCGATCTTGATGTTGGGGTGGAAAGCAACCTGTTTAAATTCGCTGATGACACCAAAATCTGGGGGGAGGTGAGCACGCTAGCAGGGAGAGAGAGATTGTAGAAGGATCTGGATAGGTTACAGGGGTGGGCAAACAGGAACAGGATGTGTTTCAATACGGACAAGTGCAGGGTGCTGCACTTGGGTAGTAGGAACCAGCAGCACACTTATACGATGGGGAACTCCCTACTTGAGAGCACGGAGGCGGAAAGGGATCTTGGTGTCATTATTGACTCCAAGATGAACATGGGCCGACAATGCGAGGTCATGGTTGGCAGGGCTAACCGGACCTTGTCGTGCATCCACAGGTGCATCTCGAGTAGAGCCAGGGAGGTGATCCTCCCCCTCTATGCGACGCTGGTCAGGCCGCAGCTGGAGTATTGTGTCCAGTTCTGTGCGCCCCATTTCAGGAGGGATGTGGACAACATGGAGAGGGTCCAGAGGAGGGCCACCCGCATGATCCGGGGACAACAGGGCAGACCCTACAGTGAGAGACTGCGGGACCTGAACCTATTCAGCCTCCACAAGAGAAGGCTGAGGGGGGACCTGGTGACCGTCTATAAACTCACTAGGGGGAACCAGAAGGGTTTGGGGGAGACGCTGTTTCCCCTAGCCCCCACTGGCATAACAAGGAGTAATGGGCACAAGTTGATGGAGAGGAGGTACAGATTGGACATCTGAAAAAACTACTTCACAGTTAGGGCGGCTAGGAGCTGGAACCAACTTCCAAGGGAGGTGGTGCTGGCCCCTACCCTGGGGATCTTTAAGAAGAGGCTGGATACCTACCTGGCTGGACTCATTTTAGTCCCGTTTTTTCTTTTGGGTTCTTTTGTTATTCTCCCGCCCTGGCGGGGGGTCGGGCTAGAAGATCTATTAGGTCCCTTCCGACCCTAAAACTATGAAACTATGAAACTATGAAACAATCCCCCAAAGACACCCAGGTATAATGCAGGATACACAAATGTTAATATAATATGCAAGCATTTAGAGTTTGATTCTGTGAGAGCCTGAGTACCCTCAATTTTGTTACATTCTACTGGAATGTTGAGTACATAAATATGAAAGTGATTTTGGTAATACATCTTTATATTCTACATCAGCACATGTGTAAGACAAATAGAGAAACTGAAGAAGCTGCCAACTGAGAAGGTTTATATAAATGTTGCTGCTTTTTCTTTCATTCACAAAACTGATTTCTGGAGTATTATGCTGACTAAAGCACAGTGGTACATGACAGGAAATTATTTCTAGATGAAGCTAAGAATCTGAAATCTGACACTAATAGTAAACACAGTATTAAAAAAATATTCTGTGTATTTATATAATTTATAACCTTGTGATTAAAGAATGTGTTTGGCAACTTTTCATAATTTAAAATTCAGGGGGTTTTCTGTATGTTGGATTTGAACAAGTAAAAGGTTTTAAGCAGGTATGCAAACCAGAACAACCAGCACGGTGACTACTTGTGCTGCTCCAAAGTAATAACAAGACAAACATCTACAGCAAAAGTACACATGTGCCTGGCAGACTGAATAGGATCTCCCCTCCTACCCTTTTAAACACTTGGACAAAAGTTCCTATTCCAGTGAAAGACAAGAACAAAGAACGTTAAAATAACTGTCTATATAATACATCACAGAAAAGACTCCCCTCCCATAAGTTAACAAAACTCACACAATCACACGTTGCACATAAAGATCACATTCTCCTCTCTACTTGCCACTAACCCTCCACTATTATCCTCCGTGTCCATAACTATTTCTTAATGCCAGATCTTTACACTTTGTTTATTTAAACAATATAGCTTAGTTTTGAATCCGATCTACATCCTCTGAAAGGGATCTCTTTCACTGAAACAAAAATATGTTAAAAATTCATGTCTCCGCTCCATGAAGCTCCATTGATCCTTAATTATTTTGTTTTGTTACCTACTAACATTGTTATGACATGTTACTCTACAGGCAAACTTGACAGCTAACATGTCCAAAACTTGCATTACCACATTAGTTTTCATCCATAACTCTAAAACATTAACCATTCTTCTTTTAAATAAAAGAGCATCTCCAAATATCCAGAGGAAATTCAATCAGTTGCACTAGTACAAATTCAAACTTTATTTCATCCATTTAAACAGTCTCTACATTTACATGAGTATAAGTAACAGCAGAATTTAGCCTAATGTCATTTATCTTCAAGGTGTTGTCTTAACAATCTGAATCATGTTGAGGCAGGCAAAGGACAGGAAATATAGAATAAATAAAACAAAAAAAAAATACCCACTCAAGCTATCATGCATTATTTCATAACAATCATCAATTAAGAAAGTCTGCCTTAAAACCTGTTTTTGAGTTTTGTAGATAATAATGAAGAAGCAAAACTTAGAAGCCTTTAGATACAAAGGGCACAACCGTCTAAAATATATCAGGATACATAGACACAGGTGCACTGGATTTAACCAGTGAAAATTATAGACCTGATTTTCATGGCTAAGGAGCACACAGACTCCAGTGGAGATAGAGTCCATTTCACTGATTTTATGTTTTGTATATTTTCTTTTAATAAAATCAAATTGGAGATAAATGCAACCTGATAATATCCTTTTTAGAAAAGAAAAATATAAAATAACAAGATTATTTTATTTAGAAAATATATGCAGAGGTATAACATGGTAATAATGTGTCTGGGACTGTCCTCTCTAATTCTTCCACCTCTACATACCCCATAACCTGGGCTT